TGTGGCATGCGTGGAACTAGCGGTTGAATTCTTTACCACATTTGTACCACACGACAACGACAAGTATTTCACTTGCCGGATGAAAGGTAATGAATACAAAGTTGATAACAAAGTGATGCATGAGGTGTTTGGTTTCCACACGACGGGGTCTCGCAAAGTACCCGGTGATTTTGATGTGGACAAGCAATGGTCTGTTCTCTCTCCATGCGCTAAATTCAAAGTCAAGGGCCCATCGAATGGGCTAATAAAAGATGTGGCTATTGCGGTGGTACATAAATTTTTATGCTACAACGTTTTTGGCAAGAAAGATTCCAATAAGGTTAGCGAGCAAGAAGTGTATTTCTTGGGGGCAATGACTGCAAAGAAGCCCATATGCATGACTGCATTCATTATAGAGACACTCCGGTGCACGAAAGTCTTCGCCTCGCGCCCTCCGAGATTGGCCAATATCGTCACCGGGCTCGCTAGACACTTCAATGTTCAAATTGATGAAGTGCCGATTCAACCGAAGAAGATCGGGTTGTGGGATTTGACCCAAGCCTATCTCATTAAGGACAGCACCACGATCATTGATTATAAAAGTCGTCCTTGCTACAAGGCTTATTTGAGAGAATTGAAAAAATCATCGGGAGAAGGTGGTTCCTCGCAGACACAACCTCATTCCGAGGACGAGGTGGGGGACGAGGCGGAGGACGAAGAAGAACAGGCCAATCCGGCGAACTATTTCCTCCCTCCGACAGTTGACGCAGGCGCGCCGGACGTGCGATCTCAACAAGCTCCCGCTTGGTTCGATACATTCATCGAGAATAATGATAGGTGCTGGGAGGAGCACAACAAGAGGCTCGATACTTGGGTTGAGGATAATGATAGGCGTTGGGAGGAGCACAACAAGAGGCTCGATACTTGGGTTGAGGATAATGATAGGCGTTGGGTGGAGCACAATGCCATGATGCGTACGTACATCGAGTGCAATAGTAAAGAATGGGCATAACACAATGAACGATGGACCCAATGGGAGTCTCGACAATTTGATCAGTGGAAACAATGGGACGACCAATTCCAACAATGGGACGTTCGCAAGAGTTCAGGCACCAGTATACCCTACCCTATACCTCCACCTCAACCATCGGATGCACCGGGTGAACAGTGACAGTGCGTTGTTTTTAGGCAAAGACTTTTATGCAAGACTTCATAATTATCAGTTTTATCTTTTGGATTTTGTTTGACTTATGGATGTGGTTTGTCTTTTTTGGATTTGTATTTTCTTATGGATTTGGATTGTCTTTTGGATTCGACATTTGATTTGGTTTGTCTTTCGTTTGTGGCTTTGAGCTTCATATGATTGATATGATTCGCATTATAGGTATTGTGATTTTTTGGCTATGATTTGCATTATAGGTATAACGATCGATTAAAGTCAATTCATGTCAAATAAAGAATTTGCAAATATTTTACAAAAGAAAACCTGCATTCATTATTTCACAAAAAGAAAATAAAGAAAATTAAAAAATTTAAAACGCCCGCGACAGAAAGCGTGTCGCGCCCGTGACAGGCCGTCGCGGGCTTCTGGAGCTTGGTATTTGGTGTCGCGAGAGCGACGCCTATCGCGCACGCGTGGTTGGCCTTAGTCACGCCCGCGAGAGACGTCGCGCCGGCGACAACCTGGACAACTTTCTGTCCAGTGAATGTTGTCCCAGTGTCGCGACCGCGATACACGTCGCGGTCGCAACAAGATTTTTTTTTTTTTGTAAAATAACGAATATTTAATCGTTATTTCATAGAAAACACGATTATATATTCGTTATTTTGAAATAGCTACATGTCACGGGCGCGACGACCGTCACGGGCGCGACATACAATAACAGAACCTGGACAGT